CCCAAAAAGAATTCATAGTGGAGAAAAGCTGTATTCTTGTGATATATGTGGAAAATGTTACTCGCAGTCCGGTGGCCTGAAAGCCCATATGCGAATTCATAATGAAGTGAAAGCACATTATTGCAAAATATGTGACAGACGCTTTACACAAGCAAGTGTCCTGAATGATCATATGAGAATAGATACTGGAGAAAAGCCGTATTCTTGTGATATACGGTATGTGGAAAATGTTACTCGAAGTCCGGTAGCCTGAAGGCCCATATGCGAATTCATAATGAAAAGAAAGCACATCATTGCAAAATATGTGACAGATTTTTCACCCATGCATGTGGTTTTAAGGTCCATGAAAGGATTCATACCGGAGAAAAGCCATTCTGTTGCAAGACATGTGGCAAATGTTTTGCAAAAGCGAGTGGTTTGAATTCCCATATAAGAAGTCATACAGGAGAGAAGCCATATTCTTGTCAACTATGTGACAAAGGCTTTACACAATCAAGTATAGGCTTGCACGTAATTTACGGAATTATTTCGAGTTACGAATTACGTAAAATCGTAATTATTGGTCGAGCGCTTCGGCAATTGAAACGAGCTCTTTTCAGAGCAGTCAATTCCGTCGATTGTAAAAAATTAAGGTTTAATAAGTAGAAGAAGTTAGAGTTCCGGTATTCGCAGCCGTTTTTCTCTCTCTTGTCACGCAGGTGGGGAAGGCATAACGCGTTGCCATTTACTAATCTATTATCAACTTATCTAGCATGGCCTATGTACATATTAACCGTAGATAATGCCGTGATAATTAATGTCGCCCTTATCAAACAGCAATATGACGACGGAAGAGAAATTGCGTACTGTAATTTTTTTTTCTCGAAGATTGAACATTATTTTGCGATACTTTTTACTCAAGGATTGAACATTATTCTGTGATATTTTTTTTATCGAAGATTGAACATTATTTTGCAAAGCTTTGTTTTGAAAAATTGAATATTATTTTATGACACTTTTCCTTCCATGCTGCCACATTTGGCAATCCTTTGTTAATAAACCATACATTTGTATTTGTATTTGAAAATGTTTAGTGAAGATTTTGACTTCCGTAATCACCCGCTGGCAGCTAGCTCCACTGCCGCGTAACAGCGATAACGAATCGTAAACATGATTAGTAAACTCGGACGCTGTGCGAAAGTGATGACGCGAAACGTAACACTATTAAAAATAAAAATAAAACATTCCAAACGTCGGGTACGACTCATGTAACCCCCTACCCTCTTCGCTGCGCCCCTGTCCTATCGGATAAATCATTATAACCTTCATGAAACTTTGGCTATCTAGCTCTGACCGAAAAAAAAAGTGACTTTGCTGTTGTATAGAAATCAGTTCTTATTTTGGGTGGAGATCTTTGAAGTTCCTGAACCCCGAGTCACCATAGTCAGTAGTATTTTATCAAACCTATGCATATGGAGAGCAGGGATGGCCAATACCGAATAGTTCACTATTTCGAATACATTCGAAATTATTATTTTCGAATATGAAATTTCGAATACTTCGAAATTAAAATCCAGTAATAGAATCTAAGTGTATGAAGGAATTTTCATACAATAAACAATGGGAAAACTTCTGTTTACAACCTGGCTATATTACCAGGCATTTCATGTTTGCAGATTATTGCGATATATATTTTATATAACATGAGATGTGTTAATTAACAGAATTAAAATAATACGACAAGGCATTTTAAATAGTGGTATCGGTGATGGATTTGAATGCTTGCGCAACACAAAATAATCCTAGTAAAACGCCCATACTTTTAAATACCAACCATTATCCAAATTATTTGTCAAAAAGCGGGATAAAGTATGAGTTCTTTTTCAGACTTGTGACAATTTTTTCGTGAGCACAAAAATACGAATCAAAAAGTAATTATATTCGGGAACTTTACCACACATTTTAAGTCCGCAGATCGCCGTTGTATGTTTGTGTAATAATACTTTTATTATTTTATAAATACGAAAACTATTTATAATCGGGTAGTTTACCACACATTCAATGTCCACAGATCCCCGTTGTATTTTGTAAATACGAAAATACGAATCAAAAATTAATATCAATCGCGAGTTTGCCTCACAATTTATGTCCACAGAATGCCGTGATATTGTGCCCGAATATAATTAATTTTTGATTCTTATTTTCGTACTCGCGAAAAAATTGTCAGAAGTCGGAAAAATAATTTATACTTCATTACACATTCAAGTCCACAAATCGCCGTTGTATTTTTGAGTTCTAATAGTTTTAATATTTTGTAAATACGAATCCGAAATTAATTATAATTGGGCAGTTTACCACACATTTCATGCCCACAAATACCCGTGGTATTTGGTATTAATACTTTCATTATCGATACTTTTGACCATCATTATCAAAATTATTTGCAAGAAAGCGGGTGAAAGTATTTTTCTAATAAATCAACTTGTTTCCCAACTTGTGACAATTTATTGGATATCGTAACAATTACGGCTATGAATACCGTATTTCCCGGCTAATAAGTCTACATGGCAAATAGGACGATGTATATTTTTAGCATTCAAAAAAAGGGGTTTTTCCATATAGGCCTCCAAGAAGACGGGTAGAAAAATTGTTCCCTGTTGTTCAGTTATGCTAATACGCTCTAATAATAATGTTTAGAACCAGATCACGTTTGTTTAGTAGAATCATACTCACAGAATTAACTATTTTTAACAATAAAGCGGTAATTTTAAGTTAAAAATCACAACCATTTTGAACAATCTATAATTTTATAGGGTCAGAACAGAACCAGATCATGTTTGTTTGGCAGAACCATACTCACGGAATTAACTATTCTCAACAACGAAGCGGTAAATTTAAATTATAAAGCAGCAATCATTTTGGACAACCTATCAACCCGAATGTTGAAATAATTTTGGAATGTGATAAGTTCCACACGGTACGTCCACGGGTTATTTCACAGCTGTGTTTCATGTCCCTGTCATTTTCTGCTGAATCGGCAAAACCAAAGGGTCATAAATCACTTACTTTATCTCGGTGGCGGTGGCCGTGTTTTCTCTTTCAAGTAACGATAACCGGCCTACGATTAAATATCATGATTGGCAGACCCATAAGAACCAAATATAAGGTTAACACAAATTATGCTTGAGAAGACTAATGCGAAAAATAAGCAGGCCACATAGAAATAAAATAAACATGCTTTCTCAATAAGGCGCCCCCACCCCCCTCCAAAAAACCAAGCCAAAATTGGGTCTAGAAAAGCAAAAGCGACTTATTAGCCGGGAAATACGGTGATTGTCGATTTTTCGACTAATGGAAATGATTTTGTGAATTAAAAGACGAATGTCGGCAATGTCCACCAACGCAAACGTGCAAATGTGTCGCAACACTATGCGATGTACATTCGCGCTGAATATAAACAATCGAAATGCCGACTCTATTTCATCGTCATTACAATACGCGAGAACTACTATTCGTAATTATTCGGAAATACTTTGATATTCGAATAATTTCGAATATTCGATTTGTTTTGGACAACCCTGATGGAGAGCAATTCATGTATGCAAATCTCTTTTTCTCGAACTTGATTCTATCTTCCTTTGTGTATGTTTACGTATTACAAATCATTTATATTATATTCATTCCGGTGTAAACGATGGAAAACTAAAATGCTTCCCAGAACTTTCCGGAGTTTTTTTTTAATTTCAATTGCATCGCATTGTACTGATTAAAATTTACCAAAACTTGAAAGGCTCAAGAACAATGAGGGAAAACAACGGGAAACGTAAAGAGCTTCCACAAATAAGAGCCCGGTTAGTGAGTATGTTTAATAAAAAAAAAATGAAAATTTTGCCATGAAGAATAATATTTACTTATATCAATACGTCTTTTGGAACATAAGTAGTGTAACTGAAGTATTTATCATGAGAGGAATTAAAAGCTTGTTGCCTCCTGACCTGTGTGTATGTATTTCAATACAACTCTTGCCAACTTATTGCTGCTGTTGGTAAGTGGCTTGAACTCCAGTTAAAATGTACACAATATTTATGGATGTAACTTTTTCTCTCTCTACCAGTAATCAGTACCAGTCTAATGAGATATTGCACAAGTCCCGTAATATAATGAATCTTCTTTTGAACTCCAATACTTGAATGAAATTCACATTGCATGCTTGCGTGACTGAAAATAAAAAAAAATATTACAGTTGCAAAATTTTAATGTCATTTGAGGGTGAAGACCGGGAATTTCTGGTAAATTCGCTGTAAATCACCCGTTAATTTTACACCATGTTACTGGTAATTCTTATGTTATTTTCCGCGTCTATCCAGTGAACTTACATTCAAAACCCGGTAAAACTCCCATTTTTATCCGCACAATAACAGAAACTGAGGAATAGAAATAGTAAAAAACCTTAAATTTAATCTGCAATATAATGAAAACATCTATAAACATTAA